GCTTCGGGTTTCGGGTTCCTGGGGCTTTGAGAGTTTCATTTTCTCCAAACTAGGGTTCAGGGGTTTAGGGTTGAGGGGTTTAGGGTTTCGCTTTTCGGGAAAAGCTACATGGTGCCCGAGACGGACTACCTAGTTGCTGAGTAGCCTGGGCAAAAAAAGTTAACCTTTCAATTATGGTGGGACTACATATGCCCCCACAAGGTTAAAGGTTACTCAATAAGCTACTAAGGACTATCAGCAACCGAAACGAGCTCGATTTCCTCGCAGGGTTTAGGGTTTAGGGTTTAGGGTTTAGGGTTTAGGGTTTAGGGTTTAGGGTTTAGGGTTTAGGGTTTAGGGTTTAGGGTTTAGGGTTTAGGGTTTAGGGTCTTAGGCTTACCGGTCTTGAAATGCACTTCGCTGTCTTGACCATGCCCGAATCAATTCATCAACTGAGGTTCCTCCGCAACTCGACCCGGCTTCCAGGGACGACCGTACAAAGTCTAGCATGCTGTCATCGCGACACACCTCATCGCACCCGTAAGTAGCGACTTGCGAACAGAACGACTCTAAAGTCACATCGCCTACACTCTAAAGACACTCAAAACCTCCACACAAGAGAAACCCCATCCTCTGGGCTGACTTCAGAGTCTGCCATTGTCAGCTGCGATTGCACGCTTTCATGCAGGGTTGCCTTGAAGGTTTGGCGTTTAGGGTTTCGTGAGCGCTGTGAGCGCAGCATGCAAGGACTCAGAAACTGCGCCGGGCTGTCAAGGGTCGTGTGGCTGTGACATGCTTGCGGACGTTGTGACCTTGACGTGCCGCTGTGTGTGTCTATATATAAATGCGGATATGTATGCGTGTATATGTCTATTGTCTATGTCCCGCGCATGTGCATCTATCATCTACATGTGTGCATATTCACTCACCTAATTATGTTTTTCGTATTTACATATGGATATACATATATATATATGTTCATGTATTTATCTGTTTATTTATTGATATTTATAATTATAATGCCTTTACTGTGCTGCCTAGTTGGCTACGTCTGCACTTCAGGCGACGTGCTTGGTTCAGGGCTTCATCGCCTGCTATGGCGGTATTGCCACTCTTGGGAGGCACGAAGGGAAGAAGCTCAGGGCTCAAGGGTTTAGGGTTTAGGGTTTAGGGTTTAGGGTTTAGGGTTTTGGGTTTAGGGTTTAGGGTTTAGGGTTTAGGGTTTAGGGTTGAGGGTTTAGGGTTTAGGGCATCCAAAATCATGAGGCGAACACGAAGAACGCTATGGAAGCGTTGACAAACCCAGGAAGAACCAAAAAAAATGCGCAGGCAGTTTCCCACGTCTTTGGCCCATTTTTGAGTACGGACACTACGTTTGAGAACTAGCTGCAAATACGGGTTGCAATCTATGCGGCGGACACATGGAGACATCCACTGGAAGTCCTGCGCTTTCGGGTCTTTTGTTGTCCTGGCATGTGCTTCATGGTGATTCATGGTTTGTGCTAGCCTCGGTGCAATGTTTGGAAAGCCCCAGAACCGTGAACACCTATCACAATGATTTGCAAGGCTTTCTCTGGGTCGAGATAGAAGGGCCGGTGCGCCCAAGATTGCTTCAAAGTGCTTGGGTTCAGGGCTGAGGTTAGGGTGTAGGGTGTAGGGTGAAGGGTGAAGGGTGGAGGGTGTAGTATTTCAAATTACCGACGAACTCGCGCCTTGAAAAAGACTCAATACGCAACCCTAAACTCTATAAACCCTGAACCCTACTAAACCCCACCAAACCCTACCAAACCCTACCAAACCCTACTAAACCCTACTAAACCCTACTAAACCCTACTAAACCCTACCAAACCCTACCAAACCCTACCAAACCCTACTAAACCCTTCTAAACCCTACTAAACCCCACTAAGCCCTACTAAACCCTACTAAACCCTACTAAACCCCTCAACCCTGAACCCTAAACCCTACCCCCTAAGCCCTCAACCCAAGAAATGCTGGTGCTGGAGTTGCAGGAAAGCGAGATAAAGGTCCCAAGCACAGATCCCCAGAACCCCTCGCACGCTGCTTTTTTCCCTTTTCCCAGATCCTCTGCGCTGGATGCTTACACTGCGGGCGCTTGACGTGGGGCTTTGGGGGTATTTGGGGGTGCAGGAACCAGGGTTCTGAGTGAAGGACTCAGGGTTTGAAAGGGGTTTAGGGTTTAGGGTTTAGGGTTTAGGGTTTAGGGTTTAGGGTTTAGGGTTTAGGGTTTAGGGTTTAGGGTTTAGGGTTTGTGGGCTTCCAAGGGGATCACCTCTGCCTCACCTCAGAGGACACCCGAGCATCCCATAAATGGCGCCTATGCAGCCATGGGTAAGAACAAGGCAGCGCAGATGTCCGAATCAAAGATACCAGGCTCAGCGATTAGCACTGGTGAAGTGCGTGCAAACCCTATATCCGCCAGGACGCCACGTGAAAAGGAGAGATCATCGCACAGACAGTACATGGTGCAGGGTTTAGGGCTAGCCCTAAACACTAAACCCGAAACCCTAAACCGGACCCGTAACCCTGAACCCTAAACCCTGCACTGCACCCTAAACCCTAAACCCTAAGCCCTAAACCCCTAAACCCTAAAGCCTAAACCCTAACCCGGAACTCAGCCCTCAACATGTCAAACAAGGATTTAGGGACTCTGCGACGTTTCCCGCGCAGCGCGGAGAGCGGGAGCACACCGTGCATCGATCGGCGCGTGACCCCGGAGGAGGATCTTTGTCTTGTTTAGGGTTTAGGGTTTAGGGTTTTGGGTTTAATTAAGGTTTAGGGTTTAGGGTTAGGGTTAAAGTTTAGGGTCCAGAGTTGGGGGTTATGGGTAGTCTAATGGGGAGGGTTTAGGGTATAGGAGTGTCGGATACCCTGAGGCTAGGTTAACAAGTAACCTGGGCTAACAGAAGGAATTTGTTGCGGTGAATTGGCATCGTTTGATTTGCAAGACAAGCGAATCTCAAGGTAAAGGGAATGAGGAAACTACAGAGCTTAGAACTCCACACCTATGGGATTACTGCACTAGGGTGTACAGGAGTGTCCAAACACAATGGGCCTCCCCCTTACTGGAATCCTCTTTACAAGAACCCCCCCCAAAAACAAATAAATAAATAAAAACACACACACAATAATGAAAAAAAACAACATACCCCCAACACCTAAACTTGCTGTTCTAAACCCCTAAGCCCTAAACTTAATTCAGGTCACAAAACCCCAAACCACGAGCTCTAAACATTGTTTGTCATGCGAGCTTGAACATCTGCTTGGAGGTTCATGGGTACTTAGAAGTGGGGTATTGGTACCCGAAGAGCAGAGCCCTAAACCTTAAACCCTAACCCCTAAACCCTACTTATAACGACCCAAAATTTGGGTACCTGTAGAAGTGGAGCGGGGGGGGAGGAGACTCCGTGTGGGCTCGCGCTGGCCGTCTGACTTGGAAAACCACATCCCGCGTAGGCATGTGGCCTTCTCTCTCACATGGCACCTGGGGCGACCTGGCCCGCAGCTATTTAGGGTTTGGTATAGGGTTTAGGGTTTGGGGTTTAGGGCTTACATTTTAGGTTTCGGGTTTAGGGTCTAGGGTTTAGGGTTTAGGCACCCCCTGGCATCCGAGACGAACGACACGAAGGCAGCAAGACCCCAAATCCTTCGAAAAATCAAGAAGATCCTTTCGGGAGTCCAAGAGAATACAGAGCCCCAGAAGTACACACCCTGCACAACGCACCTGAGCCCTAAACCCCTTGACCCTAAACCCGGAACCCGAAAACCCTAAACCTTACACCCCACGCCCGAAACCCCAAAAACCCCAAAAACCCAAAAACCCCAAAAACCCCAAAACCCCAACAACCCGAAAAACAAAAATACCCAAAAAAAGCCCAGACAAAAACCTCAAAAAGCCCAAAAACCCAAGAAAACCCAAGAAAACCCAAGAAAACCCGAACAAAAACCGAAAAAACACCCCCAAACCCCCAGGACCCCAAACCTGCAAACCCCGCGCCTCTCAGGCCATGTGCCCGTGGCTTGCGCTTGCCGCCTTCAGGGCGTCGCTCAGCGCCTTGAAGATCTGGCCTTGGAGCTGTTCTGGAAGGCTTAGGGTTTAGGGTTTAGGGTTTGGGGTTTGGGGTTTGGGGTTTGGGGTTTGGGGTTTGGGGTTTGGGGTTTGGGGTTTGGGGTTTAGGGCTTAGGGCTTAGGGTTATAGGGTTTTTGGGCTCTTTGTGGTTTGGGTTTAGGGTTTAGGGCTAGGTTTAGGATTTGGGGTTAATTATAGGGTTTTAGGGTTTTAGGGCTTTACGGTTAGAATTGGGGTTGTAGGGTTATGGAGTTAGACAAAAATAGAGCTATGGGGTTGTAGGGTTACAGGGTCTTTGGGTTGTTGGGTTACAGGGTTTTTGGTAAGGTGACAGGGTTATGGGGCTATAAGGGTTAGAAGGTTATGCGGCTATAGGGTTCTCGGGTTATCGGGTTTACGGCTCTATGGCTTTAGGAGAACCGTTGTGGGTTGCTGTTGTTGGGGGAGCAGGGTTTTGGCTTTGGGGTTAGCTGTTGGCCCTTCTGGTATCCTAAACTTTCAAGACTTCAGACTTTTGGATCTGCATCCTCCCTAAACCCTACACCCTAAACCCTAAGCTCTAGAGGGTTAAGGTTTGAGAAGGCCCCTCAAACAAGTAAGCGTGGAGACGGTGGCGAGTCGGGTATTTGTTACAGGCCCCTCCGTGTGCCCCCAAGCTGCAAGGAATAGGGTTTAGGGTTTACGGTTTAGGGTTTAGGGCTTAGGGTTTAGTGTTTCGGGCTTAGGGTTTAGGGCTATGCAAAGACGCCCAACGGGTAATATTATTCTGCGCTCGCTACGGTCACCACAAAGTTCAACACAAACCCTGCTTCTCAAGCGGATCACCTGGTTATTCTGCACTCGCTACTGTCACCAAAAAGTTCAACACAAACGTTAGGAATCCTACACCCTATATCAACCCCGAACCCATATGAACAGGGCTTGGGGCTCAAGGCCCCTAAACCCTAAACCCTCAACCCTAAACCCTAAGCCCTAAACCATAAACCCGAAAACCCCTACTTAGGTTTTGGCATTCAACTTCCTGGGCTTTCTCTGAAGCCTTTGAGAGGGACCATGGGCGGCGCTGGGCGCGTGGCAGTCGGGTATTGGGTCGGTCGGATTGACCATGAGGGCCTGTGGAATGGAGGATTAGGATGTGCGGCCACAAGCTCGATAGCCCGAAACCCTAAACCCTAAGCCCTGCCAACCCTAAGCCCCCTAATCCCCATAAACCCCCTAAACCCCCTATACCCCCTACCGACACCCCGAAACCTCTAAACCCCCATCCCCCGAAACCCCCCTAAACCCCCTTAAACCCCCCAAATCCTGACCCCACTTTTTCTTTATGCTTTTCTTTTATGCTTATTCTTTTTTTGGGGGGGAGGGGAGGGGGGCCTGTCGCAGGGATCCGTAGATTTCAGAGTACCCCAGATAAAAGACCCTTGGCAGCGGGGAAAGGGGGGCTTCTTGCTGCAAAGGAGAAGGAACCGCCAGGGTGTCAAAGGAACCACCCTCGACTGTTGGGATAGCGAGGTATTGAGAGATTGTTGTGCGCTGACCCTGAACCCTAACTCCTAAACCCTCAACCCTAAACCTAAAACTCTCAACCCTAAACCCCAAACCCTACACCCTGAACCCCAAAACCCTACATGCACTGCATAGCTCAATGGCCCGCATCGTGGGGCCGGAGGCTGGTTAGGCAGCTTCGACGTAGCCCCCAAATCCCCCAACCCTTAAAATAAACAGATCGCAACAAGAAAAGACAAAGAAAGCAGCTTAAAGCCTAAGCCCCTAAACCCGAACCCAGCTCCACCTGAAAACCAAGAACTAGCCCTAAACCCAAAGCCCCCCCAAGCCCTAAACCCCAAACACTAAACCCTAAATCCTAAACCCTAAACCCTCAACCAAAATAAAGAGACCGAAGTGGGATGGAACCGCCGGCCTTGGTGAAGCCCAGGCCAAGGCACCTCAATCGGACAGTTCCCAACATAGGGGTCAAGGGTTTCGGGTTTAGGGTTTAGGGTTTAGGGTTTAGGGTTTAGGGTTTAGGGTTCAAAGGAACCGTCATCCCCCGATCCGACTCACGAAAGCCCTTCAGGGTTCTGGGGGCTTGACCCTGAACCCTAAACCCTAAACCCCAAACCCCAAGCCCTTAAGCCCTAAGCCCTAAACCCTAAACCCTAAACCCTAAGCCCTAAGCCCTAAGCCCTAAGCCCTAAGCCCTAAGCCCTAAGCCCTAAGCCCTAAACCCGGTGAGGGATCAAAAAAGCAACTCACAAATCCGTCAGCCAAGCAAAGCCCGCGGCGAGATCAAGCCCAGAACGGCAGCACCTCGTACCTGGCGGTGGGGCTTGGATTTAGGGTTTAGGGTTTAGGGTTTAGGGTTTAGGGTTTAGGGTTTAAGGTTTAGGGTTTGGGGTTTAGGGTTGAGGGTTGAGGGTTTAGGGCTTGGGCTTTAGGGCTACAGTCTACAGAAATAAAACACAAACCCTCTCATGAACGCCCACGCCTAGTACCTTCCGGCCTGGTCGTACCACTCGGGTCGGTCCTCCTCCCTCATGTCGCTGATGGCAATGGACCTCGGAGGGTTTAGGGTTTAGCGTTTAGGGTTTAGGGTTTAGGGCTTAGGGTTTTGGGGTTGGGGTTTAGGGTTTAGGGTTTAGGGTTTAGGATTCAGAGGTGTCGTGGGTGGAGCGGAGGTTCATGGGTAGTAACATGAGTATGGTAGCGACAGTCATAAGCTGGTTCGATTTAGGGCACTTAAGACCCTACTGCCAACTATCCATGGACCTCTACATAGCCGCGCGAAATCTGAACACCTTGACTGGGAAGCCCAGTAACTATATTTTAATAAGGGCACCCTTGGGGTTGGTTACAGTATGTAAGGGAACCCAGAACCAACAAACAAAGTTAAAGGGCAACGCTGGGCTACGAAACTGAACACGTGGCTCCGGGCGTAGTTGAACCCTAACCCCTAAACCCTAAACCCTAAACCCGAAACCAAAAAACCCTGAACCCTAAACCCTAAAACCCAAACCCCTGCCGGTCTGAGTCCCGTACAGCAGGAATCCACCCAAGGCACCACCCAAGTGCCTCAGCGCAGGTAGCTGATACCGAGGGTTGTGTAGGGTTTCGGGTTTAGGGTTTAGGGTTTCGGGTTTATGCTTTAGGGGTTTAGGGTGTATAGGGTGCAGGGTGTAGGGTTTAGGGTAAGAGTTGCCACATTTGAATAAGGGTAAAAGCTACCATCTAATGATGAACCTACTTGTAACTCTCCAAGCGCCACAGCCGCGTTTTTGGTGGATTTGCGGATTTGCCGGCCTTACACCGGGGCCGGGGCGGGCAGGACGTACATGTGAGTTTAATCTTTCAGGACTGGCACTTTGGGTTTGGGGGTTTCGGGTTTAGGGTTTCGGGGTTAGGGTTAGGGTTTAGGGTTTAGGGTTTAGGGTTTATAGGGTTTAGGGTTTAGGGTTTAGGGTTTAGGGTTTAGGGTTTAGGGTTTAGGGTTTAGGGTTTAGGGTTTAGGGTTTAGGGTCGAGGGTTTAGGGTTTAGGGTTTGGGGTTTGGGGTTTGGGGTTTGGGGTTTGGGGTTTAGGGCTAGATACCAAATCACACTTTACAGGGTTTAGCGTCTCCAGGAGTCAAGGTGAGGATTCAAGGCAAACTCAGGAGCGGTTGAGACCGCGCTTGATGTCATGATCCCAGGCCTTGAAACCGCCCCAAATCACCCAAAACCCTAAACCCTAAACCCTCAACCCTAAACCCTAAACCCTAGACTCTAGACCCTAAACCCTAAACGCTAAACCCTAACCCTAAACCCTAAACCCTACATTCCACCATCCTCGGCCCCCGCGCCCGAAGATGTCCATGTTGGGCGTCATGGAGGACATCGTGGTCACCGAGATCATCATGAACACGATCCTCGCCAGGGGGCTTCGGGCTCCGCCGCTTCGCTGTCTTTGGGGCCTTGTCTTCCTAAACCCTAAACCCTAAACCCTGAACCCTAAACCCTAAACCCTAAACCCTAGGGGGAGGGCTTTGGACTTCCCGGTCGCTTAGGGCTTTTGGGTTCAGAACTTAGGGTCCGGAACCCGTGGCCCAGAACCCGGACCCAGAATCGCTGCACGCCTGTGAAGGGACTCCTCCCATGCATACAACGAAACGCCCAGCCACAAAGTCACAAGCCTACAAAGGCCAGGCACTCAAACTTCACAAGGCTTTCGCGCTCAGGGGCTTAGGGTCTAGGGTCTAGGGTTTAGGGTTTAGGGTTTGGGGTTTAGGGTTTAGGGTTTAGGGTTTAGGGTTTAGGGTTTAGGGTGTAGGGTTTAGGGCTTAGGGTCAACCAAGCGGTCCAGATCACCGTCCGCTCTCGCGCGGGCCCCAGGATCTCCCAAGACAGGAGGATCTCTGCCTGAGGGTTTAGGGTTTAGGGTTTAGGGTTAGGGTTTAGGGTTTAAGGTTTAAGGCTTAGGGTTTAGGGTTTAGAGTTTAGGGTTTAGGGTTTACCGTGTAGGGTTTAGGGTTGAGGATTTAGGGTTTCGAGGCTTCGCAAGTGGAGGCTGAGAGCGAAGGGTCTCGGGTTCACTATACCCCCCGTAGAACCTCAATAAAAATGAAATTTAAAATATTCTCTTGGGTTGTATATAAACAAAATAAAAGAAATAATTCGCAAGGGGGATATAGTTCACTCATCTTCCAGGCTTCTCTGGGAGCATCACGCTTAGGGTTAAAATCGGGTTTGGGGGTGTAGGGGTTTCGGAGTTTAAGGGTTTAAGGGTTTAGGGCAGTTGGATACACATGCCTGCCTACATGACAAAGCAAGATGGCCCGGTATCTCCTTGGGTTGATAAACCCCAGACCCCAACTAAACCCAAACCCAAACCTCGAAGCCCAAACCCTAAACCCCATAAACCCCCCAAACCCTAACCGCAAACTCCAAACCCCAAACCCTAAACCCGAAACCCTAAACCACAAACCCAAAATCCCAAGCCCTAAACCCCAAACTCCAAACCCTACACCCTAAACCCCAGGCCCTAAATCCCAAACCCTAAATCCCAAAGCCCACAACCTCTTAAGCCCCAAACCCTCAACCCAGATTCCGCCACAAATTGGAGGCTTGGGGTGTTCCCTTTTGAAAGTCCTTGATCGGGATTTCAATAAGGGGTACTATAATTTGATTAAGGACCCTAAACCCTCAACCCTAAACCCAAAACCCTAAGCCCTAAACCCTAAACCCTAAACCCTAAACCCGAAACCCTAAACCCTAAACAGCCCCCACGACCCTATTGAGTAGCTGTTCGTATAAGGGGGAACATCCCAAGTGGAGGCCCTGGCCAGCCAAACGCCGATGAGGCCGAACCTCGGGGTGAAGAAGGCTTGGCTTTTCGGGCTTAGGGTCTAGGGGTTTAGGGGTTTTAGGTTTAGGGTTTAGGGTTTAGGGTTTAGGGTTTAGGGTTTAGGGTTTAGGGTTTAGGGTTTAGGGTTTAGGGTTTAGGGTTTACAGTTTAGGGCCTCCTTAAACCCTAAGCCCTAAATCCCACACCCTAAACCCTAAACCGGTTCAGGGTGTAGGGTTTCGGGTGTAGGAGGATTTTGGGGCTAGGGTTTCGGGGTGCGGGGCATGCGGAGTACCTCATATCATGGAGTATAGGGGCCTTGCATCTGGGCCTTGCAACCATGAAGCCAACAACGCCTTTGGGCACGGCTTGCATTCTGGCCTTGTGAAACTTGGCTGCACTGAGGAGGGTAGTGATAGATTAAAATTTCTAGCTGCCTCATTAAGAAACCCAATAAGCCCAAAAAGGCTAAGGATCTAAAGTTACAGTAAAGCACCACAAAGGCAAAATCATGTATGGCAACAGACCTCGGGAGCTTCGACCAGAACACGAAGAACGCAACACGAACACAACCAGAAAAAAAACAAGAAAAAATCACTTAAGCCCTGCAAGCCCTGTAAAGAAAGTAACAAAAGCCCTAACCCCTAAACCCTAAACCCTAAACCCTAAACCCTAAACCCTAAACCCTAAACCCTAAACCCTAAACCCTAAACCCTAAACCCTAAACCCTAAACCTAAACCCCTAAACCCTAAACCCCACAAAAATCGGAGCCCCAACCCCTAAAGTTGTCACATCCGCTTCTAGGGCCACCGGCCCGGCGGTGGAGGCTCCAACCTCGGGCTTTTTGGGCTCTCTTGGGCCCTTTAGGGTTTAGGGTTTAGGGTTTAGGGTTTAGAGTTTAGGGTTTAAATTTTTGGGCTTAAGGCTTAAGGCTTAGGGGTGTAGGGTTTAGGGTTTAGGGTTTAGGGTTTAGGGTTTAGGGTTTAAGGCTTAGGGTTTAGGGTTTAGGGTTTAGGGTTTGGAGCTTTTGGGTTTGGGGGCTTCAGGACTTGATTAGGGTTTAGGGCATTCGGGTTTCGGGTCTCAGGGTCTTGGGGGTTTAAGGGTTTTTTTTTTTTTTTTTTTTTGGGGGGGGGGGGGGGGGTTTGTAGGGTTTAGGGGTCTTTAGGGCATTTAAGGCTGCAGGGTGTTAAAGGTTTCAGGTTCTGGGGTCCCACGTGCAACCTAGTTTGTTGCACATGCAACACTGCACCCGGCAGCTGAGTTTGAGGCCCAGGGCAGGGGTCTACGGGCACCACACTCACAAAGCTAAGTACTTACATTGTTGTCATCCAAGAGGCCACAACCATAACCCTGGCTACAGAAACAACCACAATAGTCAACACAATCACAGCCGCAGCTGCAGCAAGAACACGGTCGCAGCCGCAGCTGCAGTAGCAACGATGTCCAGCCATGCACTGCGCGCCCATCTCAAGTGTGTTGGACGTGCTAAAGCGTCTCAAGTGTGTTGGGGGTGCTAACAGGTCTACAATGGTGTCGCCGTGCACGTGCACCTTCCCCACCGACCCACCGACCCACCGACCCACCCACCCACCCGCAGCACAACACCGCGCATCTCAATACAAGACACGGGCTAATTACAGCTTGCAGAATTCCGACTGCAGAATTCCGACTGCAGAATTCCGACTGTGGCTGACGGCAACACAAAAGGACGGCTGTGAATGACCCGCCTGACAAGCTTCATCCATCACCTCGTCTTCTCGAAGGACCGCTTGCTTGCTCCACAGCAAGAAATTCAGGAACTAGGGAAGGGATGAAGATCTAAGGAGTAGTATAGGGAGCGTGAGCCACCAAACTTCCCAAACCCTAGTTAGAGTGATTGCAGAACCATACAGAACCTAAATCCCGAACTCCCTACTTGCCTAGCACACCCTAAACCCTAAACCCCGAACCCTAAACCCTGAGACCCTAAACCCTAAACCCTAAACCCTAAACCCCAAACCCTGAGACCCATAATGAACTGGGGGGCAGCACTGCGAGCTTGTACGGGTCTACTGCCACGGACATGAGGTTGCCGAAGAGGCCGCACCTCTGGTTCACGGCTAAGGGCTTAAGGCTTCAGAAGTGGGTTTTAAGGTTTGAATTCAAGGGTTTAAGCGCCTTCAGGGGGTTTAAGGGCTTAAGGGTGTCAGGATTTAATTTCAGGGTTTCTGGGTTTCAAGGGAAATAAGGGTTCAATGTTTTCAGGGCTTAAGGGTTTAAGGATTTAAGGCTTTAAGGGATAAAAGGGTTCAAGGGGTTAAGGGTCCAAGGTTTATGGGCTCACGGGATTAAACTACGTGTTTCTGGTCTGAAGAATTAGGGTCTCTAGGCCTAGGAATAACCTAGGAATAACAATGGTGCCCTTTTTGGTTTACAGGGGCTTGTAAGGGAACCGCAACTCTTAAAAATGGAATAAGGGCCTACTCTCAGTCCTAGTTGCCCTAAACCCTAAACCCTAAACCCCAAACCGGCCCAAACCCTAAACCCTAAACCCGAAGGCCTTCTCCGGGTCCCAGGTTTTCAGGTTTTGGGGTTTTGCATTCAGCTCGTCGATCGTGTCGGAAACAGCCAAGCCTCCTCCTTGAGGAACGCAACTCCGCTGACCCTAAACCGTAAAGCCTAAACCCGCCTGAACCCTGAATTGGCCTCGGCCCCGCCGAGAGGAGTCCGGAAAAAGCAGCCTTCCCCCCAGCCCCAAGTTCGTGGCACCCGCTTCGAGACCTTTCCCTGAAAACCCTGTACCCCCGCCCCCTTCCCAACCTGAAACTCCTCTGGGACCCTCCTGGGACCACCCTAAACCTCCTGAAGCCCTCCTACGGTCCTACTGTACCTACTGAACTCGTGTGCCTCGCCGCGCCAAGCAACGTCTGACTTTGGCTTTCCTTCGTCTGTGATGCCCGCGCTACACCCCGCCTTCTGCTGGCCCGGCTGCCGAGGCAGCGCGCACCAGCGTTTACAACGAAACCCCAAACCCTGTTGAGCATGTCCCTGTCTTATGCAATTGCACATGTCGGCCGTCCACTGCACACCAAGTGATTTCAGCCATACAGCCGCAGTATCCCATACCCGATTGTATTGCACACTCGGTCAACCCTCGTCCTTCAAGCTCGAAGTCATATGGGGGCCTATTTCATTCTTCCATGCATTAGGGATTGCCCTAAACCCCAAAAGCCTACATCGCCTACATCAGAGTCACTAAATTGCCTCGCTCCCTGCTCCCGCAGTCCTGAACGCAGAGCTAGAGCGAAGGGGATATAGGGTTTAGGGTTTAGGGTTGTTTAGGGTTGTTTAGGGCTTAGGGTTTAGGGTTGAGGGCTTAGGGCTTAGGGTTTAGGGTTTAGGGTTTAGGGTTTAGGGTTTAGGGTTTAGGGTTTAGGGTTTAGGTTTAGGGTTTAGGGTTTAGGGTTTAGGGTTTAGGGTTTAGGGTTTAGGGTTTAGGGTTTAGGGTTTAGGGTTTAGGGTTTAGGGTTTAGGGTTTAGGGTTTAGGGTTTAGGGTTTAGGGTTCTGGGTTTAGGGTTTAGGGTTAGGGTTTAGGGTTTAGGGTTTAGGGTTTAGGGTTTAGGGTTTTTTGGGTTAGGGTTTAGGGTTTAGGGTTTAGGGTTTAGGGTTTAGGGTTTAGGGTTTAGGGTTTAGGGTTTAGGGTTTAGGGTTTAGGGTTTAGGGTTTAGGGTTTAGGGTTTAGGGTTTAGGGTTTAGGGTTTAGGGTGGGTTTAGGGGTCTGAGCCGGCCACGCAAAGTAGAGCATCATCATCTTCTCCCTGCCAAACTGCCTGGCTTGCTATCCCGTTAGTGGAATTTGTTTAGGGTTTTTGGTGTTTTTTTGAGTGGTGTTTAGGGTTTTTAGGGTTTTTTTAGGTTTGTAGGGTTTTTAGGTGTTTAGGCTTTTAGGGCTTTTAGGGTTTTTCGGGTTTAGGGTTTGGGGCTTCGGGATTAGGGCTTGTTCAGGGTTTGGGGGAGTTCGGTACCTTACAGGCTGCAGGGCATACAGGGCGCCTTACTAACTTACCAGCTCTTAGAGATGAGGGAACGAGGGAAACATTGGGGGTGGGGGGGGGGGGGGGGAGGGAACTAAGATACCTAGTTCCTTCACTCCAAATCTCTTACCCTATGGGGGGGGGGGGGGGCGGGGGGAACTAAGATACCTAGCTCCTTCATTCCAAATCTCTTACCCAAAGCCCTAAACCCTGCACCCTAAACCCTAAACCCTAAACCGCAACATGCAAGCGACTCAAACTAGCCACCGACTGGGAGGCGGGTGGCCAGTGGGATCCTGTTTGCGCATTTCACCTCGTAGGGGCACCCCTAGAATATCCCCCAAAATACTATCATCACAAAGGGTACACAATCTTGGGAAGCCCAATATTTTCCTTGAAGCTTGGTGGCCCAGGAACCGTGATACGGAATAAACAGAACCGTTTTGCTGTTGGTTACTTTACAAGGGAACCTAGAACCAAACGTCTAAAGGTATCACTTGGCTGCCAAGGAAATGACTTGAGGAACGAAGCATCTGAATCGGAAGCCGAAGAAATCCCTGTAACAGGTCTCCCCAAAATTGGGGTTTAGGGTTTAGGGCTTAGGGCTTAGGGCTTGGGTTTAGGGTTTAGCACCCATAATTTCTGCACTGACGATCATGTTCTCATCAGGGCCTCTCCATGCCGAAGCCCATTCGAAGCTGGAAGAACACCTGGGTAGCCCCAAAATGGGGTGCGTTTTGATGTTGGGTTCAGGGTTTTAGGGTTTAGGGTGTCGGGTTTAGGGATATCGCTGTTCCTCCTCTTGCCCTGAAACCTGAAGCCCAAAGCTCTGCAACCCCAATTCTCCATGAACCCCCTATCTTCAGCAATAGGGACTCAAGTCCTTTCATCTACAGGTAGTCACCCTCGAATGAAACCCCTAGGCTACGCTCCTCGAGGCCGCGACATTGAAGAGGAGGTGGGTCAAGTTTGCATGAAGCCTTTGCAGACAGGCTTTGGGGTCTAGGGTTTAGGGTTTAGGGGTCAGGGTTCAGGGGTTAGGGTTTAGGGTTTAGGGTTTAGGGTTTAGGGTTTAGGGTTTAGGGTTTAGGGTTTAGGGTCAGGATTTGGTGCGGGCTTGCCCTTATGCTGGACCGATCTGAATCACGACGTGCACATTTGGGGGGCAGCAGGTTGGAACATGTTGATATACGGTGTACGAATGTACTGCCCTGTTTTCTTCTGTGCTTCTCCTAACCTCCTACAGTATCAAACCTTCGCATACACATTTCACTAACAAGCAAACACAGAAACCCAATGGACTTACTCCGCATTAAAGACCACCCGAAAGCCCAAAGCCTAAAGCCTAAAGCCTAACCCTAAACCCTAAACCCTAAACCCCCTCAGACCCGGACATCACCGGGGTCACCAGTCGCCAGATCTGGCCGCGGGCCAAGGCCTTGGCTCTTCGAAGGATCCTTTTGCGGGCACCTCACCGTCTTCCAGGTGAAAGCCGTGGGTTTAGGGTTTAGGGTTTCGGGTTTCGGGTTTAGGGCTTAGACCATCTGCGACAATAACCTCCCGTGGAACAGCTGCTCCTTCCACTGTTCCATGCATGGAACAGCTATCCCTCGCACTGCTAACCTAACAACCCTAAACGCAGACTAACAGGTCGTCAAAGGAAAAACCGGTGAACTACGGTTCCCTGAACCCTAAACCCTAAACCCTAAACCCTAAACCCTAAACCCTTGCACCTCATGGATCCTTACTAAAAGAAAAAGCTCCCTCTAAGTCCACGGGCCGGCCCCCAGGAGGCGCCAAGCTGATAGAGGACGCAAGGCCTCGGTTTAGGGTTTAGGGTTTTAGGATTTAGGTTTTAGGGTTTAGGGTTTAGGGTTTAGGGTTTAGGGTTTAGGGTTTAGGGTTGAGGGTTTTAGGGTTTAGGGTTGAGGGTTTAGGGTTTAGGGTTTAGGGTTGAGGGTTTTAGGGTTTTAGGGTTTAGGGTTCAGGGTTTAGGGTTTTAGGGTTTTAGGGTTTTCGGGTTTGAGGGTTTTAGGGTTTGAGGGTTTGAGGGTTTTAGGGTTTGAGGGTTTGAGGGTTTTAGGGTTTTAGGGTTTAGGGTTTAGGGTTTAGGGTTTAGGGTTTAGGGTTTAGGGTTTAGGGTTTAGGGTTTAGGGTTTAGGGTTTAGGGTTTAGGGTTTAGGGTTTAGGGTTTAGGGTTTAGGGGTTAGGTTTTAGGGTTTAGGGTTTAGGGTTTAGGGTTTAGGGTTTAGGGTTTAGGGTTTAGGGTTTAGGGTTTAGGGTTTAGGGTTTAGGGTTTAGGGTTTAGGGTTTAGGGTTTAGGGTTTAGGGTGAGGGTTAGCGTTTAGGGTTTAGGGTGCAGGGTTTAAGGGGTTAAGGGGCTTCAAGGTGAAGGGTTTAGGATGTCAGGGTTTAGGGTTGCAGCGTTTTAGGGTTTGGGGTTTTGGGTGTTGGGTCATGGGTTTAGGGTTGTTTTAAGGGCCAGCATGCGAGCGGGAGCCGAATCGTTTACTCCAGGGTAACCAGCATACCCGTTTTGGGTTTAGGGTTTAGGGTTTAGGGTTTAGGGTTTAGGGTTTAGGGTTTAGGGTTTAGGGCTTAGGGTTTAGGGCTTAGGGTTTAGGGTTTAGGGTTTAGGGTTTAGGGTTCAGAAGGCCTGAACCCTAAGCCACCGCAGCCAGGGCTTGGGGTTGAGGGATGTGGGTTTAGAATTCAGGGTGTAGGTTTAGGGTTCAGGCAATCGTGTACAGATGGAAAAGTTTCGGCATCATGCTGCAAAGCAGTTTGCCCTAAACCCTAAACCCTAAGCCCTAAACCCTAAACCCTAGGCGCTATACCCAAACACCAAGGCCGATGCCATGTCTCGAACTCAGCAGGCTTCGCGTGGGTTGAAATACGCTCTCAGCGTAGTGGGGGGGGGTTCAAAGAGGTTCGTTTTTTGTTTTTTCAATGGGGGCCCTTAGAAATAGAAGCACATTATACTCCATTTTCATATAAGAGAAGGGGTTCAAAGAAATTGCGGTGCCTACTTTGGGGTGCTGGAGATATTTGTGGAATATACCCGCATGTGTTTTCATACCACCCTCACTCGCGGCCCTAAGCCCCTGAGCACCCTGCGTGGGATTCGCACGATTGTGTCCCAACCACATCGAAAACACAAACTCCACGACCTGCATGGTTTAGGGCTTAGGGTTTAGGGTTTAGGGTGTGATAAGAGCTTCAGCGCTGCACTATCTGCCATGCGCGTGCAGTTCGAGAGGCACTGTGAACCCAGAAACACCCTCAACCCATTAAACCCTAAACCCTAAACCCTGAACCTCAAACCCTAAACCCTAAACCCCAAACCCTCAACCCTGCCCCAAGAAAGATTGGAGTCTCATGGGTGCTGCTTCTTTCAAGTTCACCTCTTTGAGTTCTGAAAGGTGCTTGCACCGAAGTGTTCCAACCCTAAACCCTAAACCCCAAACCCCAAACCCTAAACCCTGAACCCTAAACCCTAAACCCTAGACCCTAAACCCTAGCTTGACAATACTTCTTGGGGAGATCTTCGGAGCCATGGGCTTCCAAAACAAACGCTGGTATCATGAACTGAGAGGTTCTGTACTAACCCTAAACCCTCAACCCTAAACCCTAAACCCTCAACCCGAAACCCTAAATTCTAAACCCGACACCCTAATCAAATCCGTGGGACCCGCCGCAGGAGCAGAGCTTAGGGTTAAAGACGTCGGGCCTAAGGTTTAGGGTTTTAGGGTTCAGGGTGTAGGGCTTGGGCTCAGGGTTCAGGGTTTCAGCCCTCAGCGTGACCTCCCATACTTTTTGCACGCCCACGTCTCCGCTGCAACGTCTGCAACATCGGCTTCGGGCTTTCGGCTTTAGGGCTTTAGGCTTTAGGGCTTTTAGGCTTTAGGGCTTTAGGGCTTTAGGGCTTTAGGGCTTTAGGGCTTTAGGGCTTTAGGGTTTAGGGTTTAGGGTTTAGGGTTTAGGGTTTAGGGTTCAGGGTTTAGGGTTTAGGGTTTAGGGTTCAGGGTTTAGGGTTTAGGGTTTACTGTTTAGGGTTTAGGGTTTAGGGTTTAGGGTTTAGGGTTTAGGGTTTAGGGTTGAGGGTGCAAGGGGCGTTTTGGTTTTGGAAACTCTGGCCCAAACTCACAAGAAACTTTGGCACAAGCAGAGAAAGACCTCTACGGGTCGCACAATGATCTCGCAGAGCTCTACTTGGAGGTTCATCGGGTACGTTTAGGTAGGGTTGCGAGGAATCCAAGCCCTACACCCTAAACCCTGAACCCCGAACCCTAAACCCTAAACCCTAAATCCTAAACCCTAAACCCTTCACCCTACCTTCTTCAGGGCAGAAGAAAAACACCCTACTTAAAACCGAAGGTTGGCTGGAAGTGCCAACCCTCCGAAACATGTTCTGACATACTCGCCTCCTGAACCGCAAAGAAAGGAAGGCAGAAATCTCCCCAGGGCCTCGTTTAGGGTTTAGGGTTTAGGGTTTAGGGTTTAGGGTTTAGGGTTTAGGGTTTAGGGTTTAGGGTTGAGGGTTTAGAGTTTCGGGTTTAGGGTTTAGGGTCTCGGGTTTACATTTTTCGGGTTGAAGAACCTCCACGTGATCCTTGGTCGACGTATGGTGCATGGGCTGGGGAGCTCGCTCGGTTCTCCGAACTTTGAGCCCAGAACAGCGTTCAGGGTTTAGGGTTTAGGGTTTAGGGTTTAGGGTGTTAGGGCTTAGGGCCTTTAGGGCTTCGAGCTGCTCGGGTTTAGGGTTTCGGGTTTAGGGTTCAGGGTTTGGGGTTTAGGGTTTGGGGTTTAGGGTTTAGGGTTTCGGGTTTAGGGTTTAGGGTTAGGGTTTAAGGCGTCTACGGCTTAGGGAGCCCCGACCCCAAATAGTTGGATTCCCTTTTTGTAAGGAGCCCAATACGGTGCCCTAAACCCTAAACCCTAAACCCTAAACCCGATTTTCGGAAATCCACCACATGCGGCCGCTCACAGGAAGCTGGCGGTCCGGCAGCGTGAGCTCTTTGAAAAGGCCCACGGCGACAGATCGGCGATCTTGGCTTTTTAGGGCCTTCGGGCTTTTTGGGCACGCCCTATACCCTAAACCCTAAACCCGAAACCCTAAACCCGAAACCCCTAAACCCTAAACCGCCAAGACCGATTCTTCAAGGTTGTGCTTTTGGGGGGTGGGGGGGTTCCGCAAACTTGGGGTGGCCGTAGTGGGGATCCTTGGGATGTTCCCCTGTATACTAACAGTCCTGAATAGGGATTCTAATCGGGGGGGTGGGGGTACTAGAACCCCTATTAAGGACTGTTAGTATAAGGGGGAACCTTCTAGAGAATTGCCGCTTTTTGGGGAAAGACCCATTTGGCGAGGAGTAGAACAGAACCCTAAACCCTAACCCTAAACCCTAAACCCTAAACTCTAAACCCTCAACCCTAAACCCTAAACCCTAAACCCTAAACCCCTAAACCCTACACCCTAAACCCTGATTCTAGCGACCCTTTGCTACAGGCTATGTCACCAGATCGAGGGTTGAGGGGTTGAGGGAAGGCATCCTTTGCCATCAGCGCCACTTGAAACGCCCGAACCCCCCTCCCCCAACCCCCCAAAAAAACAACTCCTTAAAACAAAAGTAATAAGTATAATCATACTCAGAAGAAGAAGAGTTACATATATATATATATATAGGTCGAATAATATAATAATAAAAAGAAGAAGAGTTAAATATATATATATATACATATATATATATATATATACATTAGAAAAACTCTGCGCAGAAAACGCCAAGGTGCCATGAGCAAGTCGGAAGGTAGCTCGGCGCGCGCCTCTTTTGCGGACTCTGAGGTTTGATTCGGAAGTGGAGACTCTGATACGCTGAATACAGCCATAGATTATAAATGTAAATATATATATATATATATATATAGAGTTATTTATTTATATTATTATGTATTCTTATCTGTTATATTCATAGTGATAGTGATTAGGACACACACCAATTAAGATCTTGCATGTGCGCCACTGCCCTTGGCAAGTGTAGATTCCCATCGCGCAACATCACGCTCCACGCCCACAGCACGCCCAGAAAAAACCTGTCAACCTTGCTTTGGCATTGTGCGCCTCTACTGCAAGCCACAAACTTGATCTCAGAGTAAACCCCTAAACCCCAAAACCCCAAAACCCAAAACCCTAACCCCTAAGCTCTAAACCCGAAGCCCTAAACCCTAAACCCTACAGGCTTCATAGGGGATCCAGACCCCTCCAAGAAAAGGGAATAAGAGGGCCGCTCGGGGTCCTCGCAAACAAGCTGCGACTTGTTGAGCTCCGACTACTTGGAGCATGGAGAACTATAAGGAGGGTTTAGGGTTTAGGGTTTAGGGTTCAGGGTTTAGGGTTTAGGGTTTAGCGTTTAGGGTTTAGGGTTTAGGGTTAGGGTTTAGGGTTTAGCGTTTAGGGTTTAGGGTTTAGGGTTAGGGTTTAGGGTTTAGGGTTTTCAGAAGTATTGTAATCTCGGCTAGGTCATAACTATAGTTGCCGCACTTGTAGCCCGCAACCCTAAACCCCAAACCCTAATTAATTCAACCCTACACCCTAA